CTTCGGTCTATGTGAAACACTGTGTGTGTTCTTCATGAACCAGACGTTCTGCTTCGCCTCTAAGCCAGTTTACCCTAATACCCAAAAAACCTAAGAGTGGAATATTTTAAGATACTTTTGCATTACGTTCTTTCAACTTGTTTTCAGTGAAGTGTTTTCAGTGTTGTTACGATTGGAGGGTGAATATGAGAACGATGCAGGTCGTGCCAGCTCGATCATGACGAACACAATGGTGCCGACATCACAGCTCTACTGCCATTTTTGACGAAGTTAATCAACAAGGACCGGAATCCTACCCTGGGGCATTTCACCTGCAGAGGCCGCCGGACCTGAGACCCTTTCACTCAATTCTTTTTCAACGGTGCATGCGGCATGCCCTCGTTTTTCCCGCGAAGCTCTTGGTAAGTAAAATCCATCAGAAAGTGTGATCAAATAACGGCTGGTGACCTTCCATGACCTAGCATGACCTTTTGAGTGACCACCAATGACATGACCACTGACGGCTAGCCATTAGCTGCACCCTGCCCGTTGCATATGGATCAGGTGGTGATGTCATGATTCTGAAATTATATTGCAGTTTTGGCGCACTTGTCAGAGCAGAAGACATTCCCACTTTTCCTCCATGACTATATGATGGTGAAGCCATGAAGCTGACCAGACGTAAGATCGAAAATTTGAAAGTACGAAACGTAAGAATAGTTGGCACTGCTACTCGACACTGACCGGCCGGTCGCGAACTTCCCGCCTCCGGATTTTCAGCCGGACACCCAATCCACTCGGCCACGCGGCCAGTATCCCTAAGCAATTCGCAGCTTGTAGGAAACCAGCTTTGAGTTGGCAAGATTGCAAATTTTGATTTAGAGGCAAGGATGCTTGAAAAGGTGATCGATCTTAGGTGTCCTAGGATAAGTTTGGAAACGGGATGCACCATTCGATGTGTTTTGGGCTTTGCCAAGTTTCGCGGCGTTACGTGCCTCGTTTTTCTTTTTGCATACACGATCAGTATCTACTTATGGGATTTTCGGACAGCTACAGTCCCCGTCCCCCCCTATCGAAAACCCGTGGCGCCGCCCCTGGCTATACTTCTTTCCTAAGCTTAAAGAACAAAACCGTTCTGTGAAGTTCACCTCTCCTGATCGAGCCATAATTTTGTGATAGCATAGGTCATTGCCTGGAATGAAAACGTTCATCTCGATGGGTTTGGCAATTGATCGCTGAGAGCGGCGAGCAGTTTTGACGAGAAGTGCTCGCCAAAGAGGCGCAGGAAAGCCCGGGGGCATCGTTTGCCGAAACCGACCTCCTACTCTGCAGACATGAAGCTGAGCCGATCTCGAGAGTCGGTTTTCGGGGTCGCCATAACGTGCCTCTCCTCACATCAAGGCTCTGTCACGTCCCACGACACGTCCCCATTACGTCCTCACGTCCCCACGGCACGTCCCAGTGACGTCCTCACGCCCCCACGGCATATCTTTGTTATGTCATGTAGCTGGGCGCCGTTGATGGGATCGTATTAGGTGAACTTCACCAGTGGCAAGCCCGGCCGCGAACTTCTCGCTGAGAAATTTTGCACGTCTAACTCATCTTCAGAGCCAGTCGCACCGCCCGGCTGACACAGTGAAGTTGAGAAGTAATTTGTGTGCCTCTGAGCCGCAGACAGAACATCCGGGGAAGTTGTGTTCGGCAGAAGTTGGGCCGGCTTTCGCTAGTAAATTGACATTAGCAGTTTGTATGTGCAGAGTATGACGTTTTCATTACATTTCATAAAGATGTTACCAATCTTTGCTAAAGCTCTGTTGCCCTCGTGCATAAATATTAAAGGGACCATCCCACCTTAACATTAGTTTTGAGTTGAGATAGCCAAGTTTGCGGCCAGGCTCAGAAACCACCATTTATCCTGGTCGCAACCCCCGCAGCTTTATGGTGTTCAAGAAATTTCTTCCCTTTACTTGCAGGGTGGGACCAGCTTAGTCCCTAGCGGTTTTTTGATGACGTCAGCAGTCATTTCAACGCCCGCCATTCCTTGAACCCGAGTTTTGCTGACCTTGAGCTCCCTTTTTTATCAACGTGAAATCCGTCGTCGGCGCTGAGAAAGCCTACTGCTTTTCATTTTAATTTGAATATTACAAGATACCCACCACTGGAACTTGGACTGATATTATACCAAGGCCGAAGATGATCAAGCTGCCTGCTATATCTGGAGCTCAAGCTTGGTGTTCAACTTCAACATGGAATAAAAAACAAAATGTCAAAGCAAACTGGATATGGTACTGCAAGTTAAAGTCCAAAGAAATTTGAGGAGCTGACAATTGACATTAATTCTTTTCCTGCAAGGTTTCCATATGGAAATCACAGTCACACCATGAAGAAATATTTTTGATGTTAACAGTTGAAAGGATTTATCTTCCAGTTTTGACGAAAGACGCTGCTGACTGTCTTTGGAAAAGGATGTCGGCATGAGGTGCAATTGTGCTTGTGAAGTGGTTATAACTGGTCTTTTCACAGTATTAAATTAAATGTGCCATTGCAGCCAAGTGTGTTATCATGTAAGGTAAAATCAAAACTACAATGTTGGTTTTACGAGCATTGAGAAGGCTGGTAGGTAACACCTGCCTGTGCTCGTAAATCATGCTGCCAGAGTATTCTAAATTAATTTTATCATACACTTTTGTTGTCCAGAATGGTTGCACTATTGTTTGGTATCATATTATTCCATGTAAATATGGTAGTGTAAAGTCCGACCAACATGTTACCAGATTTGAAGCTGTTACGTTACCTAAGTACCTGTTTTTTACTGGCGTGGTGAATGTCACCTGGATTTTGTTTTGAGGTGCAGACCTAGTAACTCTGACTACATGGGTTTGAAGCTATTATCTATTCTGTTTTTACTGGCCTGGTGAATGGCGACTGATGTTGTCCGTGGATGGCACTGAAACAAATTTTGAGTGTTTTGTACAGTGTTTTAATACAATGCTGAGGGCTGAAATTTGTCTTGTTTAGAGTGGTGAAAGTTCAGGATATGCCAGCCACCATGGTGGGTCAGAGTTAAATGTGTTGCAGTCAGTTCGGCTTCGGCAAGCACACGGATGGGCATACGCATCAAGACCTGCTCTGCCATACTTTCAGCCAATTTTACCTAGGTAAGTCTTTTCTTTTTTCTGCCAAAAGCTATGACATTGTGAATTTCAGCACTGTGGCCTGTGTGTAGCTTTCAGGAAAGCAATTCTAAATAAAGCTCCGATAAAGTGCAAAATCAGCAATGCAGCCCTCTATTACATTTTCTACAACATCTTACTTGTTCCTTGCATGGAGAGAAAAATGCAATGTTATGAATTCGTTTATTCACATAATTTGACAAGCATGCAGTTACCTGCTACTATCACTGCACAAAACAGAGCAGAAAACATCAGTTGATCAAACACAAGACATAACAGAAGTTTACAACATAGGGCTGCCGAACCTGCTTCCTCCCACCACAGTTGATGCCATTTCCTAGCCTGGCTTGATGTGAGCACTGAATAGCTGCTTTGTCTAATTACAGCTCACTACCATTCAACTTAAACTACTCTCTTTAAAGTAAGAGTGAGAGCGTTCAGTGTTCATGGCAGCTCGACAGACGACAGACAACAAACATCTTGACAAACCAACCAGTATTTGATTTGGCTAATGATTTATGTGCTTGTTGTATCATGGCCAAACTACTTTAACAGCAATAATCCCTGTTTCATCTTGATCTTGCTTTTATTTCCATTTGAACTCAGATCTTGAAACAATCATCTGAAGTAATATCAGATACTGGCTTCTGTTTCTCTTGAAAGCAAGTTAAAAGTTAAAACAACAATGATAAACTAAGGCAGGAGATGTGAGTTGTGGCAGTAGATTTTTGATTCAACATATGTCAACCTTATATTGCTTGAGACCTCTGTGACAGACAAACAAATATTTATAGTTTTTTGATAGTTTGGATTCTTGGCTTGATTTAGCAGATCAGCTGTGAACCTTGACTTTGAAATAATGTCATGGTACCCGAACGAATCCTCGCATGACATTTCTTCGTAGCACAATTTTTCGTCCGCATTTCTTCGTCTACAAATCTTCGTCGGTGCATTTATTTGTCCCTCAATGCTTACTCTTGCATATATTTGCGTTGAAGAAGAAATGCGAGCCGATTTTCATATACCCTGGTGCGAGACAAAGTAATGCGATAGGTACGAATAAATGCCCTGACGAAGATTTGCAGACGAAGAATTGCGATACGAAGAAATGCCATAAGAATTGTCTGGAATCCTTTATTGGCCATCATATATTGACCTTGATAAGATAAACGCATCATTCGCGCAATATTTGTCGCACTTTGATACCAAACTATTGCTTCCAAATGCCGACGTAAAGAAAACCTTTATGTGACGTCATAGAAACAGCGGATTTCCCAAAAAGTAAACAAAAATAAAAGTCTTATATCTCGAAAACGGGTGAATATTTTCCGGTAAAATTTGGTAGATGTTCATTTTCGCTCTTTGTGATTCACGCTACATCACTTTTATGCCAATTCATTAACTTTTTTGAAGGTGGGAGGGTCCCTTTAATCGGAACCGGATGCAAATTGTTGATCATAGTTATGCAAAGACGTTTCGTGTCTAACTTTACTTTCACTTTATTTTATTCCGACTGCCTATTGTGAGCAGCACCAACGTTCGGCGTATTACACTACTGGAAAAAGCGGAAATCTTATTCTCAGCTCAGCCACATTAGTTAGTAATCCTTTTAACCAGGAATTTATCTCTTTCTTAACCTCTCTAGCATTATTGAATCAGAAAGGAATGCGTTATGTTCGTGTCTCTCTCCTCCCGACTCTCACTCTCCCTTCCTCCTTCCCTCATTCTTGTGCATCTCTCCCCCGCTTGCTTTCCCCTTCTCCCCCTCTCTCTCTCTCTCTCTCTCTCTCTCTCTCTCTCTCTCTCTCTCTCTCTCTCTCTCTCTCTCTCTCTCTCTCTCTCTCGTACCTTGCTGCCACAGTTGGTAACGGCATCCAGCAGCCTGGTGTATGCCTCCAGTGGTTTGCAGTCGCACACCTTCTTCTGACGACAGAGCAGACTGATGGACTTGGCCATGCCGTCTAATGCCAGAACTCGTCCGAACGCGTCTTCCATATCTGTCAACATCTGAAGCGCCGCCTCGTACCGCCGGTAGGCGCGCTGGAAGGCAGAGGTAAAATGAGGTAGATATTGGTCAGCTGAGGGGAGTGGTAAGAGAGCAAAGCATAAATACACGAGAGAAAGGGTGCCACCAGTTGACTGACTTTGTGCATTGAGTTGACTGAGTGAAACTGAGGGGCGAGGGCAGCGTTAGACGTTGCCTTCATGCATGAACACTGGGCAGGTCCAAATAGCTCAGAGGTCTAGACCTCTGTAGACCAATGCAAAGGTCTACAAAAGTGGACAAAAGTCTGTGGTCAAAGTCCATGAAATGAGGTCATAGTTGTGGTCGTAGTAGACCTATAGAATCGCTGGTAGACTCGCTGGTCATCCAAGGTCAAACACGAGGGGGGCGAAATTATAGAGGTTCTTTCTCGAAAGAAACTGGAAGTCAGGCGAGATCACATGGCATATGATTGAGTTAAACTGTTTTACGAAGAAGTTATCATGCGTAGGAAAATGAACTACATCCGAACCGAGTGGACGAACAACGATTGAAGGAACGACACGACCTTTTAGATGGGAACGCTTGATCCTGTCTCACCAAACCTTACCTCGCCACTGCCTGCTCGTAAATACAAACCATGACTGGAGTCTAGAAACGAATAAAGTCTAGTCGTGGTTTAGATTCATGTACCGCCTGTGGTCTGACTCTCCTCACCTGTCCGTCGCTCTTCTGTCTGAGGATATCACCCATGGCGCAGAGACCTCGGGCGTTTAGTGGCCGGTCTCCTGCCTCTAGTGCCATCCGCAGCGCGTCCTGAAACAGAGTGAGAAAGAGAATTTAGAAACGAAACAGGTGTTTTGTCTCATCTCTCTCCCTCTCTCTTCCTCCCTCCCTCTCTCTCTCTCTATCTCTCTCTCTCTCCTTCTCCTCTCTCTCTCTCCCTCTCTCTCTCTCTCTCTCTCTCTCTCTCTCTCTCTCTCTCTCTCTCTCTCTCTCTCTCTCTCTTCCAATGTTATGCAGTTTATTGTAAACATTTGTTTTTGTTGTTGAAAATACCCTGTCGTCAGTCTTGCTTTAAGTTCTCTATCATGGGTCTAAAGATGGTGGAAGAGAACTTATACCAACAGTAACAGCGAATAAAACATTATCTGAGCTAAAACTACCTTCTCCAAGCACGACACCCTGGATCTGTGCTGTAGCTGAACCCCGCCCTTGCACCATCCCCTCTACCGGAACTCTCCCCATCCGTCTTTGCCCGGCACAGCCGTCTCTCCGGTAACACCCTGTTGGGGTCAGTCGGCCTCGCTCTCTCGCTCAGTTGCGTCTCCACGGCTGCCGAGGCCGGTATTGACACACTGTTCAGAGCAGCGGAAATCGGCGCACTGGCCTGCCCTATCCGGCGCCAACAGCTGCGTCCGACAGTCGATAAAGGCTGGGCCGAGCCGAAAAAACCGCACCTTCAAATACGTACACATTGCAAGACGGAGCTCAGTTAAAAGTGAAGCTGGGGAGGTCTTAGTGACTACATTTGTCGTTGCCTTGGTGTTCTATCCATCTACTTCGATATGCTGAAGTTTCAGCGGCTACTTTACGCAGCATCGCTTTTTCGGGAGTTTTAAATCGTCTACTTTTCAAGAGGTAAATATCCTTCAGCAAACATGCCGCCTTTTTCGTCGAAAAAGATACCATCGTAGGCGCTGCGGGTTTAACAGCCCGGCATTTGTTAAACGACCCACCCACGCCCCGTGCCGGCAAATTTACGTGACCTGTTTATCCCGCGGACTCCCGCCGGCTGACAGAAGGCCAAGATACGACTCACTCTAACGCGTCTGTGCCGGGGTCGGATCACGTAGATACTGGCCTGCCATCGGTCAGCGGGGCCTGCAGCGGCCTGCGGTCGGCAGCCGGGCGCGCCGACTGCATATTACATGAACTGTGGCCTCCGGGCGCGGCTGGCCGCCACTGTCGCCGACATGGCTTCTGTCGGGCCGCACTGATGAGACTCTGTCTGTTTGACCGAGCCCAGCAGCAGGATCAGTCTCACTGGAGCGCCGCGGAAAGGTCTTTGTCCGGCCGCGTCCGAGCCGCCTTTGTTCCGCCGATAGATACTTTGGTTGGTAAGCGCAGCGAACAGACTTCTTCTCATCGTGGCAAAGTTGGGTGTGGGAATCGATAAGGTTTTGCTCTCCTTCTCCGAAGCGAGAGGCGTGTTCGGCTATCGTTCTGAGATGGGCAGTGTCAGCACCAGAGCGAGGTCAACGAATGGAAAGGGCCGCGCCGTGACAGCGCTGTGTGCTATGTAGATGGTGGAGACCTTTGAGCTAACTTTCTGTTAGTGACATTGAGTTCGATGATATCAGTTAAATAAATAAAAACACATAAAAACACAAAGCTGTCGTTCAGTCACTACTGTTGAGAACTACTGGTCAAAATGCTTTTTATATTTCCTCAAATTAAGCCCACAGAAAGAGTAGCGCATTCAGTCAGGTTCGAATTTCGCCGCTGGCTACAAGTTTCTACAGCAAAAAGCAATCGTTCCAGCCTTATTGGTCTTACGTGTGTGCGCGCGCACTTCTGTGTGTCTGTGTGTGACGGTCGAGTGATGTAGGTGGCACGTTCATCAGACTAGAGAGGCCACTGTCGAGCCAATAACCCACCGCAAGAGCCACCACATGTCTACCAACGGCCAATTCCAGCGCCACACACGTCACTCGAGCGCTGTGATTAATTAGCGACAGTGAAATAAGGAGCTTTTGAACTGCGGTGAACGTCAGTATTATTAGTTGGTGCTATGAAATTGGTGTGTTAATTCTGACCTCAGGCATGCGCTTCGGTAAGTACAGTGCGTGGGGTGCTCAATGTTTCATGAAGCCCATGAACCGTTTCGTGAACCATGAGCGGAGAAGGTGCTGATTCAGAATAAACTGCGATGCGGAATAGCACGCATCAGATTCGGGCGCCCGCGGTACCGAACGAGCACTGCGGAGCAGCATGCGTCAGGCGCCCGCGCCGCCAGTCGAGCCCTGCGGCACAGCATGCTGCAGGCGCCATACTGACAGAGACATCTATTGGCAGCGGCAGGAACTATATATTAGCTCGAGAACGAGGATCTATTGGTAACGTGGTGCGTGGGCGATACCGAGGGATGAAATGACGAGGAATCGATTTGCCGAAGCGTCATTATTCTTTTCCTCAGGTTAATAAATATCTAAAAAGTTAATTGTTTTCAAAACGGGCTTCGCTGAGGAAAACTAAATATTATAACCAAATATTTCGGCTTTATTGATCAGCCTTGTTCACTGGTTTGAAATACATTTTTCTCAAAAACATGACCTAAAAATTCAAATATTCATATCGTGCCGTCAGTGATGACGATCTTCTAGCTTACGAAAAACCGAACAAATGAATCGTGGTGAAACACATTTCAAGGCACACTGTAACAGGCAAACGCACACATGTTCCTATCTCAACGCAATGTCCCAAATAGGGCTGATGGTGACCTTTCCGACCCCCCTGTTCATTGACGAATTGTGCACCTTAATCTCCAGTGCCTCACGGATAGTCCTACGCTTCCAGTTTCTTTCAACTGCCAATGTTTTCGCGTCTCTTGGATTTATTGATTTGTTGCATGAGTAGGCATGCTGAGCTGTTGCTGACGTGTCTGTGCGGCCATGTTTTAAATCAGCCATGTGCTCCTTCATTCTGGTTGATTTTGGACGTCCACTTTCTCCTATGTAGGACTCACCGCACTCACATCTGATCTGATAGACGGTGCCTTTTTTCATCTCAGGTGGCACTTTGTCCTTCACCTGCATTAAATGGTCTCGAAGTGATCTTGACTTGTGTCCCGTTTTGATGTGGTGCTGCTTCAAAAGTCTTGCTATGGGCTCACTTAACCCCTTTACGTATGGAAGCGAAATGTATGTTGTGCGGGTGACCTCATTTTGATTTACTGTATCCTGGTCTGTGTCATCTTTTTGTTGGTTTCGCACATCGAAGCCCTTTTTTATCACGTGGCTAGGATAGCCGTGTTGTCTGAAAACAGTCTTCAGATGTTCTTTCTCTTTGGCTTCTGCTTGTTTGGTACTTGAAATTTTCTCTGCTCGCCGGACTAGATTCTTGATGACCCCCACTTTCATCATTTCTGGGTGGTTTGAGTTGTTTCTGATGTATGCGTCGCTGGCAGTTGGTTTTCTGTAGACAGCGGTGTGCAGACCACCTGTACCGCTCCTGCTAACACGTACATCAAGAAACGACAGCTGGCCGTTTTGGAGGAGCACATGGCTGAAGAGCACCAGAATGAAGGAGCACATGGCTGATTTAAAACATGGCCGCACAGACACGTCAGCAACAGCTCAGCATGCCTACTCATGCAACAAATCAATAAATCCAAGAGACGCGAAAACATTGGCAGTTGAAAGAAACTGGAAGCGTAGGACTATCCGTGAGGCACTGGAGATTAAGGTGCACAATTCGTCAATGAACAGGGGGGTCGGAAAGGTCACCATCAGCCCTATTTGGGACATTGCGTTGAGATAGGAACATGTGTGCGTTTGCCTGTTACAGTGTGCCTTGAAATGTGTTTCACCACGATTCATTTGTTCGGTTTTTCGTAAGCTAGAAGATCGTCATCACTGACGGCACGATATGAATATTTGAATTTTTAGGTCATGTTTTTGAGAAAAATGTATTTCAAACCAGTGAACAAGGCTGATCAATAAAGCCGAAATATTTGGTTATAATATTTAGTTTTCCTCAGCGAAGCCCGTTTTGAAAACAATTAACTTTTTAGAGGAATCGATTGTTTAGGATGTTTCATTGCTGACCACTTAAAATTATGCTGAAAACAGTGGGTTTAAAGTGGAGCAGGTACAATGCATTACAAAGAAGCGTCATGTCGTCATAAAGCTAACGTTTACAGCGGCAACGTCATGCAGGGCCACGTTTTGCCAAAAATTTGCAATGCAATTTACGAGCAGAGGCCCGAAGCTTTCTCAGTACTGAACCACGTATGATATCAGACACTTTCTAACCTATGTTTCAACCTTTCAAGTGAGTCATTCTAAACGTACATGCAGCCGTCGGCGGTTGATTTATTTTATACCTGCCATGTCCCTCCCCTCTTCCCACCCCATCCACCGCCCACCCACTCACCACCCCCTAACTTCTCCCGAAGTTTCCAGCACTCTCCTCTCACCTGACAGCACTCGTAGGCCTCTGACATCCTGCCTAGCTTCCTCAGCGGCGTGACCAGGTGCAGCAGCGCCAGCCGTTGGTGCCGCATGTTCAGATCACAGATCTGGAAACTCTTGGACAGCTCGAACGCCTTCGCCACCAGCTGGAGACCCTTGTTGTAGTCCTTGAGCACGTTGAACACCTGACCCATGCCGACATAAATAAGCAGTTCTAGGCCGACGTCTCGTATACTGCGCGCCACTTTCAGCGCGAGCTCGTAGTGTTCGATGGCCTTGCTGAAGTTGGAGTAGGTGACGTAGATGTTGCCCAGACAGAGGTGCACCTGGCCGGTGGTACGGGACTGATCACACTGGCTGTACAGCGAGTGGCGGCAATACTGCAGCGCGCTGTCCAGACTGCCCATACGCTCGTTGCCCCGCGCCAGGTTGAGGTAGGCCTCGGCTCTCAGCAGATTGTCCTCCATGCTGTGTGCGATGTCCAGCTGCTGAAAGGCGAGCTCCACCAGTTCCCTGTCGGCAGGACCACATCTGCGTTAGTGGACGAAAACACATCCCCGTGACAAAAGCACAGCTGTGTGACTTCATAATCACAACGTTATAACGACAGAACAGTTGTGTTAGTGGACAGAAGCATTGCTAGGTTAGACGACAGGAACACAGCTGCTTTGGAGCACAAAAGCCTCTGCGCGAACACACCTTACCTACTTTGACAGAAGCAAAGCAAAGCATCATTAGTCAACATGAACACAGCTGCGTTAGACGAACACCGCTGCGCTAGCCGTACGGCTTTCGTGATGAGATCGCGAATTGAGACTGAAAGGTCACCCTGTCCACAGATTATTAATGAATGTATAAATATGGAACTAGAATGATGCTGCTCGTTGAAGGCTGTCATCATGATGACAGTTTGAATGACGAAGGAAATGATAATGGAGTGAGAACTGATGAAGAGGTGGCGGTGAAACTATCGACGGCCGAGGGAGGAGATGAGAGAACGTCATCTCCCTGACAACTTCTTTAGTCCATCCGAATATGCACCTCAAATATATATTTAATAGTATTGGAGCATTGTGCTTCAAGCGCACAGGAATACAATTAGGTACATAGCTCAGCTCACTAACCGAGGATAACAGATCGCTACGTATCGCGAATATTCTCAGAGCTGCCGCTGCTCCTGCGCCACAGCCGGCTCATCCCGCCGACACGGTGTTGGAGCCGGTCACGCTGCTCGGTGCCCAGGTCACGCCTTCTCGCGGAGCCCACCCTCACACCGTGAAAACACCGGCCACTTTAACGACTCAGCCGGGCGACTGCCAATACGGGTCGGCCACCCAGAGCCGCCGGATTTCCTCGCAAACGAGGACGGCGGCCCGACCGACCCATCTCCCGCTGATAGCCGTCTCCGGTGTGGCGACAGCTGCGCCAGGGCTGAGGGGCGCCGGCGGGGCTGGGCGGGCGGCGGGGCACTCCCGTGCCGGTGACAGACGATTAAACGGTGGTCCGCCCGCGGCGCGGCGC